CGGCTTTTTTCTTATGTGGTGCTGAGGAATCGAACCCAGGGCCTTGAGCATGCAAGGCAAGTGCTCTACCACTGAGCCACCTTCCCAGCCCCTAGATATTTTCTTACACTAACTAGAACATTTAGCTTAAGGATTTACTTGAATGCTAAAAAGTTTAAATGATTGCTGTTAAGAAAATTTTATTGTCCTCAAATAGAGGCCTTGATACACATGTAATCCTAGCTACTCAGAAGGCTGAAATTTGAGGACTGCAGTTTGAGGCCAGCCTGGCCAGGAAGTCCATGAAACATCTCCACTTAGCCATAAAAAAACTGGAAATGAAGCTGTGGCTCAAGTGGCAGAATGCTAGCCTTGAGCAGAAAAAAGCTCAAGGACAGTGTCCAGGCCTTGAGTTCAAGCCCCAGGACTAGCACTAAACTAAACTAAACCAAACCAACCAACCAACCAACAAATAAATTCCCATGAAACATTAAGATCCAAAAGAGAAATAATATCAGTTTAAAAAACAATGAAAGCACATGTATTTGTCACCTCTTAGGTTTTAACTATCCTAAAGAACCTATAGAAGGTCTTTTCAACTATATGAAGGCCTAATAAGAGTATCTTTGTGTTTTTTCTTTACCATGCTCCACTAATAATGGACATTTAAATTGTTAATTACTGCTTCTCAATCAAAATTTTAACCTGCCAGTTCTTTTTTGAAGGACCACAGCATCTAATTAGTTACTGGTGGTTTAAGCCCACGTTTCACTCTTTCAATATATGCAAGTAGACAATTTTGCTAAAAATCTGTAATCTAGGTCATTACCATACAATTTTAAAAAAAATTTTTTTGAGGGTTCAGTCATGGGGCCTGAACTCTGGGCCTGGGCTCTGTCCCTCAGCTCTTCAGCTCACGGCTAGAGCCCTACCACTTGAGCCACAGCGCCACTTCCGGCTTTTTCTTTTTGCTTATGTGGTGCTGAGTAATCAAACCCAGGGCCTCTGGCATGCAAGGCATGCGCTCTACTACTGAGCCACCTTCCCAGCCCACAATTTGAAATTTTTATACATCAAAACCCTAGGGTGTGGGCTGGGAAGGTGGCTCAGGGATAGAGTGCTTGCCTTGCATGCATGAGGCTCTGGGTTCGATTCCTCAGTACCATTTAAGCAGAAAAAGCTGGAAGTGGTGCTGCAGCTTAAAGTGGTAGAGCACTAGCCTTGAGCTGAAGAACTTAGAGACAGTACCCAGGCCCTGAGTTCAGGCCCCACAACCGACCAAAACCAACCAACCAAACCCTTAGGGTGCCAGATGTTGGTGGCTTATGCTTGTAATCCTAGCTACTCAAGAGGCTGAAATCTAAGGCTCATGGTACAAAGCCAGCCTGGGCTGTCCTCAAATATGGGCCTTATAATAGGAATTTGATAATTACTTCTAAGTGTCAGAACAAAAAAAAAAAAGATGCGATATGCAGTTAAAATAATAAACTGGTGGGGTGGGGGGATGGGAAGAAGAAACAAAGGAGGAGGCAACAACGCTTGGTAAGAAATGTACCTCTTACCTTGCCCATGTAATTGTAACCCCTCCCCACGGTATTTTCACAATTAAAAAAAAACAAAATTGGGGCTGGGAAGGCGGCTCAGTGGAAGAGCGTTTGCCTTGCATGCATGAGGCCCTGGGTTCGATTCCTCAGCACCACATAAGCAAAAAGGAAAAAGCCGGAAGTTGCGCTGTGGTTCAAGTGGTAGACTGCTAGCCTTGAGCTGAAGAGCTGAGGGACAGTGCCCAGGCCCAGAGTTCAAGCCCCATGACCAAAAAAAAAAAAAAAAAAGCTCTAGGGCTATCAGGAGCACACACATGAGGCCCTGGGTCCAACAAGACAAAAACAAATACACACAAGTATTGCGCTTTTTTTCTTTTAAGTGCTATAAAGGCTTTAACTCAGGACTTCATACTTGCCAGCAGATATGCTATTTTGTTTTGCTTTTGTCAGTTGTGGGGCCTGAACTCTGGGCCTGGGCACTGTCCCTCAACTCTTCAGTTCAAGGCTAGCACTCTACCTCTTGAGCCACAGTGCCTCTCACTTCCAGCTTTTTTTTTTTTTTGAGTTGAGCAGGGAAAAGTGAACAATTGGACTGAGATCCCACCTTTGGCTTCCCACTTTTCATTGTAACTAGGATGACAGGTGTACACTATGCCTAGGTTCTTTGGT